GGAGGATGACCTTGATGACGAAATACCAGACGATGATGATCCGTTATGCCCTACCATAGCTTTCACGGCGATGGAAAAACAGCAATGGAGGAGGGAATGGCGCTCAGCCCTCATCGTGAAAGTGTTAGGACGAACTTTTCCTTTCCCTGTCATCTCTCGCAGGCTGGAAGTTCTGTGGGCGAAGTGTGGTTCCATCCAGGTGTCGAGCTTATCTTTTGGTTTCTATGCAGTACGCTTTACCAGCCAGGTTGACTACGAACTAGCTGCGGCGGGTGGGCCATGGATGCTCGGTGATTTCTATATCACGGTCCGACCCTGGCGAAAAAATTTTAACCCGAAGCTAGCGGAAGTCGCTTCCACTATGGTGTGGGCACGCTTTCCGGGCCTCCCACGTGAAGTTATCAACAAGCATGCAGTTGAGCGCATAGCAGGGAAGATTGGCAGACCTGTTCGTGTTGATAGGGCAACTGAATCAGGTGATCGAGGGAAGTACGCCCGTGTCAGTGTTGAAGTCGATCTCACGAAACCTCTTTTATCGAAGTTTAAAATTGAAGGGATAACTTATTACGTAGAGTATGAAGGGCTTCACCGGATCTGCACGGAATGTGGCAAGTATGGACACATGAAAGTTACGTGCCCAAACTTGTTCAGAGAATCAGCTCAAGGACCGCCAGCTGCTGAGACAGAAAGTGAAGCGCCCATGGGTGACTATGGGGAATGGATGATGGTCAAGCCTCGAGGAAAGGGAGTGAGCAGGAACACTCAAGATCTACGTCAAAACCTGGAAGGACAAGGAAAGGCCCCACAGGTGCATAAGGAAATGGGATCGAGATTTGCAGTTCTTGACGAAGAGGAGCACAACGACAAGCATGTTACGATTGATGCACAGCAAGATGAACCAAACCGGGTAGTCGATACCACAGCGCCAGAAGACGCCACGCCAGCTCATCGAGAGGAAGCTAGCTCATCCCTCCATGGTCTAGCAGACTCAAATAGTACGGCCCTCACGGGGAAGCACACGAATCTGCGGGAGGAGATTGGAAAGAGTGGTATCCATGGTGCTAATGAAGCACTCCCTAAGAGGACCGAGTTGAGGCCAGCTCAAACGTTGGTGGTAGGAAATAATGGCAAGCAAGAGGAACCTCCTCGCATGGTCACCCAGGTTTCCCCTTCGGATGTGGGCAAAATGAAGAATCAAGTCCAGGCAAAAAAGAATACAGCACAAACAGTAGTAAAGAAACAAGTCGGATCCCAAGCGAAGGGTCCCAGTACGAAGCAGGGCGCGGGGAGCCTATCCCCTCCAGTTCATAAATGAAAATTTTGAGCTATAACTGTCGCGGGTTGGGGAATACGCGATCAGTTAACTCCCAGAAAGCGCTACTGCGCCGATCGTCCCCAGACATGGTCTTCTTGATGGAGACTAAGCAGACTGAGGCAGAGAATGATGTTCTTCGAGAGATTTGTGGTTTCAAGCGAGGAAAAAGTGTCCCGACAGTCATTTCTACACGTAATCGAGCTGGGGGCCTTAGCCTCTGGTGACATGATGAGGTACAGGTTACAGTGATGGATCGTGACTTACACTTTATTGATGCAGCTGTGGAAAGTGAAGGGGTCGGGAAGTGGAGGTTCTCGGGTATCTATGGTTGGGCTGAAGGAGGTGATAAGTGGAAAACATGGGACCTGCTCGGGTCTCTTCGCCAACAGTGGGATGGACCGTGGCTGTGTGGTGGTGATTTCAACCAAGTACTATCGTCTGAAGAAAAGAGTGGTGGTCGGGGTGTTCAAGAGGCGGGAATGACCATGTTTAGTAACTGTCTTAATGAAGTGGGCTGTCAAGATTTGGGTTTCCATGGTTATCTTTACACATGGGAAAACAGGCGGACAAGAGGCGACTATATCGAAGAACGATTGGATAGATTTATTGCTAATGATAAGTGGAGAAGTTTATTCCCAAATGGGAGAGTTCAGCATGGGGATCGGGCACACTCGGATCACCGCCCGATTACTTGTGAAACTAGGGGCTGTGGACAAAGCATGAGGAATGCTCCTCTGTGGTGGAGCGGGCATGGAATAGATCCTCATCAGCCAATGTCCTGGACAAATTTGCGACCTGTAAGAGTGATCTGGACAGCTGGAGTCGAGGGGCTTTCCCCGCCTTTGGCAAGCAAAAAAATAAAATTCAAAGGGCAATGCGAGCGCTAGAAAGAAGAAGGAAAACCGAAGAGGTTCTGGCCCAACTTCGGGTCCTAGAAGATGAATTGGCAGACGTCCTTGACAGCGAGGAGAAGTACTGGAAGCAAAGGTCTCGAGCTGACTGGCTCAGGTCCGGGGATAAGAACTCGGGTTTCTTCCACAGGAAGGCGTCAGCTCGGCGTCGGAGGAATATGATAAAAAAGATTCGTGACGAGGCGGGACAATGGTGCAGGGGACAGGAGGCGGTCTCGGATTGTATGGTTGATTATTACCAATCTATTTTTACTGCTGGACCCGAACCTATGTCTTGGCCGGTACTAGATTCAATCCAAAGGAAGATCGAAGAGTCAGATAATGATGAACTCCTCAGACCCTTTGTGAAAGAGGAAGTGTGGGAGGCGCTGAAGATGATGGGGAAGCGGAAGGCACCGGGGGCGGACGGACTTTCTGTTTTCTTCTTCCGCAAATACTGGAGCATTGTTGGAGAAGAGGTAACAAAAGCGGTACTTCAGATTCTGGATACAGGAGTTATGCCTGCAGGTCTTAACCATACTTTGATTGCGTTGATCCCAAAGGCAAAACAACCGGAGACACCGAAAGAGTATAGACCTATAAGCCTCTGCAATGTCATGTACAAGATTGTCTCCAAGATCCTTGCCAACCGCCTCAAGCCTCTGTTGGACAAGATCATCTCCCCTTCTCAGAGTGCTTTCATCCCGGGTCGCTACATAACAGATAATATTATGGCTGCGTTTGAGTGTTTTCACACCATGAAGAAGAGCAAACGTTGGAAACATGGTTATTTTGCGGCAAAAATCGACATGGCTAAGGCTTATGACAGGGTGGAGTGGCATTTCCTGGAAGGGGTCATGAGAAGACTGGGGTTTGTAGAGAGATGGATCCGACTGATTATGATGGGAGTGACCACTGTATCATACTCTGTCCTGGTGAATGGCCATCAGTCCCAGACCTTTATTCCGGGCAGAGGGATTCGACAGGGCGACCCGCTTTCACCGTATCTTTTTCTGCTCTGTGCGGAAGGATTGTCAACCTATACAGCCAAGGCAGTGGAGGAGAATAGGCTGCATGGGTTGCAGGTGAACCGGGGCGCCCCGGTGATTACCCATTTGTTTTTTGCTGACGACAGTATCTTTTTTGGCAGGGCAACTCAACAAGAATGTTTGGTGCTTAAGGAAATTCTCCACGCCTATGAGTTGGAATCTGGCCAAATGGTGAATTTCCAGAAGTCCGAGGTGTCCTTCTCAGCAAATGTAAAGACCCACAACCGGCTGGTCACGAGCGGAACGCTGGGGATGAAGGCTGTCGATAAGCACCAGAAGTACCTCGGTCTGGTCACGGAGGTGGGAAGGGCGAAGAAGGATTTATTTGCTAGCCTGAAGGAGCGGGTACGTGTGAAGCTGAAAGGGTGGAAGGAGAGAACCATGTCAGTAGCTGCTCGTGAAGTTCTAATTAAGTCGGTTGCCCAAGCCCAACTTACTTATGCGATGTCGGTTTTCAAAATCCCGGAAGGCCTCATCGATGAGATACACAGCATGATCATGAATTTTTGGTGGGGGCAAAGAAAGGAAGAGAAAAAAGCTCATTGGTTACGCCGCGCAGAGCTTGTCACCCTCAAAGAAGATGGCGGACTCGGGTTCAGAGATCTCCGGGGTTTCAATATGGCGCTCCTCGCCAAGCAACTGTGGTCCCTTCATCTCCGACCTGAGTCTTTGATCTCCAGACTGCTCGCGGCGAAATACCACAAGAACTGTTCAATCTTGGACGCTAGGCTTGGAAGTAATCCCAGCTATATGTGGAGGAGCCTCCTCAGTGCGCAAAATTTCTTGGGCTCTGGACTGCGATGGAGAGTGGGGAATGGAGCACAGGTGAAGATCTGGGGTGATCAGTGGCTTCCCGGGGAGCCAGCGTTTGTTGATTCGGCCCCAACAACACTTCCGGTGGATGCTACAGTCCGTGAACTAGTTGACCAAGAGAGTGAGAGTTGGAACGTGGACTTAATCCGGGCGTGCTTCCCCTCCACCATTGCTGGGTCCATCCTGTCGATACCACTTCGAAGCGCTGAGGAGCAAGACCGCCTCATTTGGAGGCATAGTGAGAATGGACAGTACACAGTCAAAAGTGGGTACAGGAAGTGGCTTTCGGGTTTTGTGATAGAGGAAGGAATTCAGCCTTGTGGTAATGAGAAGCTATGGAAGACAATTTGGTCCATGAAGGTACCGCCGAAAGTCAAGCATTTTGTTTGGAGATTCACCAGGGAGACGCTACCTACGGGGGAGAAAGTGGCGGCAAAGAACCCGAAATGGTCCGATGAGTGTCCCTTCTGCGATCAAGTTGAAACCCAACGCCATTTCTTCTTTGAATGCAGCTGGAGCTGTAGAATTTGGCGAGGTTCACCTTGGACGAGCCCTTTCCTGATCGATGGCGGAGCGGACTGCTTATCATGGACTATGAAGGTTCTGCAGCAAGAGAACACGGAAACTGTGGAGAGATGGGCAATGATAATGTGGGCGCTTTGGAAAGAACGGAATGCTCAGTTGTTTAACGGTACAAAGTGGCCGGAAGATGAGATTATTCAAAAGGCTTTATCCCTCCTTGAAGAATACCAGAAGAACCAAAGGCCGGACGAGACCATTACTGAGGTGCAGTCCGCTGAAACGTGGACGAGGCCGCAAGCTGGGCACATCAAAATCAATACTGATGTCGGCTTCTTCGCGGGTGGAGGCATTGGACTCGGGGCAGTGTTCAGGGATCACCGAGGACATTTCCTTGCTGCAGCGGCAAAGAAGATGCAAGGCACAGTCGAAGTGGAGATGGGGGAAGCTCTCGCTGCCGAGTTCGGCGCCCAGCTAGCACACCAACTTGGTTATCAATCCCCCATTCTTGAGATGGACTCCCTCTCTCTGGTTAAGAAACTCAAGCATTCGAATGATGATCATACTGAGGTGGGTATCCTCTGTCGACGCATAGTGAGCCTATTGCAGGCTAATGGCTCCAACTCGGACAGTATCGCTCATGTTAGACGTACTGCAAATAATGCGGCTCACATCATGGCTCACTGCGAGACCCATTGGGATAGTAGAGAAGTGTGAATCGATAGACCACCGATGTTTCTCGTTGACCAGCTTTGTCTGGATAATGTAACCGTTCGTTCATAATCAATACATTCACAGGTTACCCGTCAAAAAAAAAAAAAAACAAATTTCGTTAGATAAAATGAAGTAGACATGTAAAAAAGGAAGACATAGGGGTAGAGTCCATATTTATCTTGCAACAACCAGATTACATGTGAGAGAAATGTTGAAGAAAAAGAGAGGAAAAAATGTACAATAACCATTTGTGTTCAAATTCCTCTTGAAGGAATTCAATCTTTTTCATAGAATGAATTGCTCCATAAGAAGGATTAGGAGAGGTTCAACTTTCTTTTAATCAATGATGCGTAGGTATATAAGCTATAAACAAGTAGCAATGCATAAATTATGCTTGCATATAGGGATGGCAATGGGGCGGGTTTGGGGGGTTTGCCTAAACCATCCCCATCCCCATCTTCAAATACCCAAACCCATACCCGCCCCATACCCATGCGGGAAATGTTTTGCAAACCCATCCCCATACCCGTGGGTTTCGGGTACCCATGGGTAATACCCATCCCCGTATATCCAACATTATTATACCTAAAACTTACAAGAAAAGTTTTAATTATAACCATAAACAAACCTATTATATCACGAAGTCAACAAAACACGGTCATTTTCTAAATACGATTCAAAGAATATGATCCTAAAACATCCATTAATACATAATATAGACTATAATATTTTTTAAATTATTATGCTCTAACTCTTGATACATTTACTAAGTAATAATTAATTAACATAATTTTGTTGACAAGGGGGAAAGTGAAAGAGTGGAAGGAGAATTGAGGGAAATGAATTAGGTTTTGATTAAGGTGGTTACTCAATTGCATTTCTACTATTTATTTTCTCGAGTTATCATCATCATCATTGATAGATTACAATTTAATCCACGTATTTTTTGATATGTGAAGAAATTCTCTTGGTGGGGCGGGTATGGGTATGGGTATGGGGCGGGGGAGGCTAAAAGCCTAAAACCATACCCGCCCCATCCCCATCAAACCTTTTGCGGGTTTTACCCATACCCGGTCAAAGCGGGGATTCCCCGCGTTGACTGGGTATGGGGCGGTCGGGTACCCGCGGCCATGGGTTTGATTGCTATCCCTACTTGCATAGGTCAATCCAATAACAAGAGAGAAGGGTTTGTTGTCCATATAAGTCTTGAGCCTAAGGGGAAAATAAGGGTTTGAGCATTGATCTCTATGTGGACTACAACCATCTCGAAATCTAACTCTGACATTCTCAAATTTGATTTAAAGTATATTTCAAGTATTTGCCTCAAGAAACATACCTAACTTCTAGTTTCTATTTTTTCCCCTTCTTTATGTCATTGTAAGATAAGTTTATGGGGTGAGAAACAATCATATTTTCAAACCGAATAATTTCTCAGGTCAGGGCAGAAGAAAATAGACTATGTCGATTGTTGATCTTATATTTGTTTAGCACTCTTTATCTTTCTATATTAATAGTTACACTTTGTTAAACAACTAGTAGTTTCAGTACAAACTTCAACACATTATAAATACAAAATTATATATAAAGTTGTACAATATGTATTTTTTGCATGGTGTTTGAAAAATGACAGAGACCCAAGAGGCCGCCGTGTGTGCGCATTACTGCAAATATTCCCTCTCCATAGGATTTGAGGAAGACAAGAGAGAGAGATAGAAATATAGGTTTGTTTCTTCAAAAGGACTTTGAGAAAATTCAAAAGAAAATGCAACTTTGACAGGCAGCTAGGGCTATTGCTATGGATAGAAAAAGAGGGGTTGGAAGAAGGTTAAAAAAAGGATGTACAAACAAACAAGGTCCTAATGAATAAAGAAGGCAAAAGAGATACAAAGGTACCAAGTGGAGGTAAGCCCAGGCCAACACAACAGTCATAGATAGATAGATATTGTGCTTCTGATACCCCACAAGAACAAAGGAACTGAAGAAAAGAAGTGAGAAATGAAAGTAAGGTTGAGGGGGGAAATCAGCTTTATAGGGCATAAGTGCATGAGGAGGACAAATGAATGTGACTGAACTCCATTCACTAGAAAAGGAAAGAAAAAAGATTGAAATTCAACAAAGATGTTCATTTTCATTGCAGGTTCAATTATACGTTGAATTTTGAGCAGCTAGCCTTAGATCTATATTTCTTTGTCCAGCTGCTTGCGTACTGTCACTACTTCGAGCAAAGATATGGTCGTGACGAGGCGAGTTCACCATACTTGTGCCATTAGGGAACGACGGTAAAAAGCCATGAATACCAAGTCGAAGCCCATCCCAGTATCCCACCATCAAGCACTCCTCCTACATCTCTGATAACAACATAATAACAATGCTTATATTTCAGAATTACCAGATGGGTGTCTTACTCACAAAATCTTTCCATTTCAGAGCGGGAGCCAATCTAGAGGAAGTTCACTTTCTCTTCTCGCCATTTGTGTCAGTTTCATATATTTTTGCTCCTCGAAATTTTAACAGAGTTACCATCCCAATGACAAAACAGTCTCTTTCATGGTTAATTAGCACTACCGTTCTTGATTATTGCTAGTCTTGTAGTTTTTTTCCCGACAATCCCCTTGGACTTATCTTGGATAAAAAAAACATAAGAGCATTTGTGCAATTAACCATGCAGGTTAGGTTAAGGACTGGATCAGGCTAACAGTCAAATGGGTGCATATCGGTGATTGATTAAGTAAGTAAAAGAAGGGAAAGGAAAGGATGAATTGCTCGATGGGGGGCAGTGACAAGACAGAGATCGGCTGGGTAATTAGAGGAAGCTTTTCCCTTTAATCTTCGTCTGTCTTTTGGCGGTGGAAGTGGAAGTGGAAGTGGAAGTGGAGGGAATAATCATTCATTCATGTCAACAACAACATTAATGCCATAGTCTCTATAGATCTCTCCCATCATATTAATAGTTCTCTAATGCATGTTATTTGCTCATGAGAGCTAAAAGCCAATGAGGGTTCAAAGCAAAATGCAGTACTAGTACTAGTAGTAGTATCAATGATGGAGGAAGCATATTCACTTTCCTCTTTGTCACCACTTTCCATAGCATGATTAGAATCAAAGTTTTTTATTTTTTTGAAAAAAAAGAAAGACAATTCCTTCTCTTCTTCCAATCCAAACATGCCCTCTCACTCTCTTCTTTTCCACCAAAAGTGGTGTTAATTTTGCTAAGTTTTAGCTTTGAGATTTGATTTGATACCCATCCCACATACGACCAATTTACACCAAGACAAAAACGACTTGCTTCCCAAGGCTTCTCTCTACAGTCTACACTATTTTTCTTCCCTATATATACACTTGCCCCTACCTTCACAGTTATTAATTAAACTATAACTGAGTCCACATAAATCCACCTTGCCCACACCCCTTTGATCCAATCATGAATAATTAATCTTTGTATCATTTGCTGGTAATAAAATCTCTCTAAAAAATTTAAGTTATTGGGACCAATGTATCAGGGCTGATTTGTCTTTGATGTCAAGTGTTCAAATTCTCACGACCATCAATACTAACCATTGTCCTAATTCTTAAAGCACATGGTATGGAGAGTCTAGCTTGTGCAAACTTCAAGCACATGAGTTGGCTTTCGTTTAAAAAATGTGTAAGGGAAAGTGGTTAAGTATTATACATGAACATCTTCCAACAACTCGAGTTATCAGAACCAGTTGGTTTATGACATTGCTCGAGCAAGCTATATAATTCTTCAAGCTCATCTTCATCTTTGGGGATGGTTATGTTTTTTTTCTTATGTTCTTGTTTTTTTTTTCTTTTCGATTCAAGTTGATTTGAACTCGAGTTAGGAGGAATATGTCCATTATGACTGGAATCACATGCCAAATACTTAGTGGTCAACTACAATTGTACCCAATTTCACGTCACTGTATGATATAACAATTGTAACGAGTGGGTGATTGAACGAAACAAGAAGCAACCACAAAACAAACTTCACAGTTCACTTACATGAGAAGGATAGGCGACAAACACCTAATCGTGATATGGTTCAAGTTAGAACAAAATGGGGCTTTTTTTTGCCATTAAGTCACTCAATTAAGAGGAACAAAGAGTACAAAGTTATCGAGAACATAGCCAACAAGTAAAGTTGAACCTCGAAAACAAGTGAGGCGACACTAATAGGACATGACGAGCTACCAAGTGAACTGCCCTATTTCGATCACGTCTTACAAATCGGACCTGGAACTATCCTGAAGTCGAAGTAGATGTCTAATCTCAAACAAAATCGCACCAATTCTTGCATCTTGAACAACCCCATTATTGCAAAGAACAAAATCGGGCTTAAACAACAAGGTCAGTGGATGCTAGATCATCACTTGCTTGGCCCAATTCCGGAATGGCCCAGGCCTAGCTGTATGGGCCACAGCGGTGGGTAGTAATCCATGTTTCTGATTTTGGACAACACAAACATATGCACAACAAATTCTACAGTAGTATACGTAGAGGCATTAAGCCGTTAATAAAGATCATCATCCCCAAAGTCCTTTCCGTTACATATAAACTTCCATCCCAAGAAACTTGGACGACTGACACAGAGGACAAAAGCTAAGCTTACTCTCACACTCTTTACACAAACACAGATGCTTACACGGCAACAAAAGCATGCACACCTCGTTCACTCTGCAAACCTTACAGGTCGTCAGATCTTTCATGTCCTTGTTCTCCTTGAACAGCATTTGGAAATCGATCCCGCCGCCGCCGCCGCGATCGTTACAGCAGGAAGCCGTGTCATCCACCACGCTGTTGTCGCCGCACCCTTCCTTGTTCTGATCCCTGCTCCGAGCATAGACCTGCTGAAGATTCAACTTGAGGGCATTGATCAGGTTCTCGTTCAACCTTGCTCGATGCTCCCATGCCCCTGCTTCGGCAGATATCTGCTCCATTTTGTCCTCGAGTTCCCAATTCTTCTTGTTGATGCTTTCCATCTCGGTCTCTTTTTCTCGGAGTTT